GATACCATGTACAAACATCACTGACTCCTGTCACTTTTCTTCACACCTTTTTTCCAACATGGGTCATGGTGAGGACCTGCCTCGACCTTTTTGAAATTTGTGGTGAGGAAGAAAGGAACAAAAACCAACAGAACATCCCAAGTCCTGGAAAATACCCTAAAACCTTAAAAATGCTGCAAAAACAGAGACAGCATTTTGCAGTTTACAGTCACAAGGAGATCTCCAGAAATTGTTTACACTTATGGCATGAGAACAACAGAAGTTAAATATGCTTTAAGCAAGCTGAGGCTAAATGACTGTCTCTGTTTTCCATATCCAGATGGCTGCTTGCTAGAGCCTAAGGAAATGAGAAAGGGGACAATGAAAGTGCTAAACTCATAAAAACTGAGAGTCTCTGAAGGAACACATTTTGAGAAAAAGTCACTCTGATTTGCCACTTCCTTCCTCAGCCAGCTCTCACAGGCCCTGAGAGCCTAACAACCCATGACAAGATCTGTTCAAGTTCATGGACATGTGTCCCATAATCCCCCCTCTCAGTGAAAAAATCCAAAAAAAAACCAAGGTGAGGAATGAAGGAGAAAAGGAAGGAAAAGAAGTGTGGGTCCCTACTAGCTGTTACAAAACATCCTTATTTTCTGTTCTAGGTAACTTGGTTTAAGAACCATTTACATGTCCAAGTTTGCTGCAAAAGGGACTCCAAGTGCAAAAACAGTTGCTGTAAAATATCTCCTTCCCTGTCCCCCAGAAAAATCAGGGTACTGTGACCGTGTTCACAGGGGTTCTTGGACAAGGGAAGAGACGAGGATCTGACTCCATATTTCAGAAGGCTTGATTTATTACTTTGTGATATATATTACATTAAAACTATACTAAAAGAATAGAAGAAAAGGTTTCATCAGAAGGCTAGCTAACAAAAGAAAAAGAAAGAATGAATAACAAAGGCTTGTGTCACGGCCAGAGAGTCCGAGCCAGCTGACTGTGACTGGCCATTAATTAGAAACATCCAACATGACTCAATCACAGATGCACCTGTTGCATTCCACAGCAGCAGATAATCATTGTTTACATTTTGTTCCTGAGGCCTCCCAGCTTCTCAGGAGGAAAAATCCTAAGGAAAAGATTTTTCATAAAACATGTCTGTGACAGGGTACTGCACATCAAACCTGCACTCTGCAGTGACAGGACTGTGTATTTATACCCTTGAACTCCTCAAGCACTACAAAACCACAGCAGATATGGAGAAAGGGGAATGAAGACTTCACCATGTCTCAAATATTTCTGCAATACCAGCCTGAAGTGTGCCACATTCAAAGCAACCCATTGTAGCTAAAATCCACCCATGCACACCTGAAGAGATACCTGAGCAATGGGAAGCTGTGTCTGACCAGCAGAATATTTCTGCTTCTACATCAACAATGATATTTCAGATCAAGCTAACTGGCATTAAGAAAAAGACCACTTCATTTGGAAACTCAGAAAATTTCCTCTAGAAATGGAGAGGCAACAAACACAGAATCCCCCACAGTGATTTTCAGAACAGTTTTTCTTTCTTCACTCCACATAAATCGAACTTTGATCCTCTGATCCAACAATTCTGTGCAGGATCCAAGTTAGAAATGGCTGTAGCCCAACAATCATTACGCTGAGACCATTCATTAGTGCATGGATGATTTCTTACATGAAGTCTTGCTTCAGGAACAAGATGCTCAAAAGAGCAATTAAGAGAAAGAAAGTACTCCCAGTGCAAGTATTTCTAATTTTGTCCTGAACTGACACTGGAGGATTCCTAGCAAAGCCATCTCTTCCTGTTCTCTGAAGAGCAGGCCAGAGGCAGAGTCTCAAACCAGTAGGAATCTCTTTTTATGGTGTATTTAACTGGCAGCTCAAAGTTCTTTTTCCTGCAAACACAATGATTTAAACACAACAAAACCCAAAGCACTAAAGTCCAAAAGAGAAACCAAATCCAAAGAACTAAACTAAAATTAAAAGGTACAACTCTAACCCTGTTTATCAGACCTCAAGTGCCCTCTCTACCAACTGAATGAATTATTACTCATTTCTGAGTAATAATTTCATATTGTTTCAGGCTGCATTTGTGTGTCAAATTGTTTTTAAAGCTCGAGTTTGTTTTTCCTAAAGAGCTGGTGCGCCAGCTAGCACAGAGCATAAATAAAGAATAAATAAATAAAGCTTCAGCAGCAGTGTGAAAATCAAGGAGGGTGGAGGAGACAGAACTGCAGCAGCCCCAGAGACCCAGTGACCCCAGACTGGAGCTCAGCAGACCCATGGGGGTGATCCATGTGCTGAGCCACAGGCAATAAAAAGGCTCAGTGTGCAGTTCAGAGCTGGTTACTACTGCTGCTATTTAATGCCCTGGGAGGGGAGGAAGAGCAGAGAGGAATTAATCTTCAGGAATCAGCAGGACAGGTTCAAGTGCCATGTGGGGAGGGCTGTGCCAAGCCCAGCTGTGCCAAACCCAGCCTATAAAACAGGTGATGAAAGGAGCAGAATGTGCCAGCATATATATACATATATATACACACACACATATATATACATATATATACATATATATACATATATATACATACACATGTATATAAAATACTTATTACATTATACATATAATATATAATAAAGACATAATATATAATTACCAATTATCAATTATTATATAATTAATTATTTATTCTTATATAATAATATAATATATAATATATAGTATAAAATACATAATATGTATTAAATATTATATTAATCATATACTGTATATAATATTATATAATATAATTATATATACTATAAATATTATATTAAAATTATATAAATATATATAGAACTTAATATAAATTTTTACAATTTAAATGTATATTTAAATTTTAATATAAAAATTATATAGACATGATATTAAAATCATAAATAAATAAAATATAATATAATTATAAAACTTTTATTTTATATAAATTATAATATTTATCTGGCTATCTATAGCTGTCTGATTAAACACATGAATTTAACCTTTTAGCTTTCCATTTTGCCCATTTAATATGTTAACTACAGACACATATCCAGGTTTGGTGGTGGGGCTGGGGTTTTCGCTGCTGTCATCTTTGGGGGTAGGCTGTTTAGATTTCCTTTTTGCTTTATTTTTCCTTTGTAATTCAACATATGAAGGATCTTGTTAGTCTTTTCCCTGCTTCCCATTCCTTTCAAACTTGATTTCTTTTCATGTGTCTCCAGCTCTGGGAAAGTTACAGACTGGCAAAGTAACAACAGCTTTCCCCTTCATGACTTTCTAAAACATATGCATCAGCAATTTGAGTGGTTTGGGCTTTTATAAAACAAAATAAGATAAAAATTAAAACTAACTTTTTTTTTTCTTCCTCAGGAAACTGATACAGAAAATATTTGGGTTTGTTTGGCTTTTCTTGGGTTTTTTTGGCCAGAAAGCTGTTTGTTCTAAAAGTTAACTGTGCATGCAGCAACATGCCACAAGCAAAAGAGATTCTGATATGGAAACATTGATTAGAAATACTGATATTCTTCCTGTTTCCTCTCCATTACTTTTACAGTAAAAATTTCAACCTGTATTGCAATCACTACACATCAATATTTGGAAGATTGCTTTATTGCCAAAATATTAAAACATATGCCCTAGAATTAATTTCAATATATTGAAATACTATTTTTGGATGTGTTAGACATGCATTTATCTCCAAAGAGCTCAGACATAATTAAGCTGAAGTTTTTTACACAAGAGAGCAGAGCTGTGTGGGAGTCAGAACCCCCATGAATGGCACTGACAGTGAGGGTCACATCTTTGCTCCATGTTGGAATTGTTCAGGAAGTTCCTACAAACCAACTTGTGACCATGAAAACTGCTTTAAAGCAAGAAAACAGAACACTAGAACTTTATCTTTTGTAATTGCTACAGACCACAAAATCCACTTCAAAAAGAAACATCAGTGAAAGCCAACACAATCCCATAGAACTTCTCTGTTTTGAAAAAAAGAAATTTTTGGAGAACACTCACTGGCACACTTCCAAGCAGCTCTCACTGCAAAAACTGATGTATACTTTGACAGTGATAGTAAAGATAGAATTTTGTTCTAAACATCTCTTTTCTCCTCAGGGTGATGTAGCCTCATGTTATACAGAATAAAAGAAATGACAGCAACAAGTTTAGCTCGTGGAAATGCAAGTGTACATTCCAGTTTAGAGTCTGAAGGGTGATGGGAAAGGCACTGATAAAATACAGAGGAGAAAAAAATTAGCTGGGAAACTGGAAAGGTCTTTTCACCCTGCAGAGCACCTCCAACAATGCCTTAGAATGCTGCTGACCTATCAGAAGGATGTGGAGAGATATTTTTTCACCATTTGTCCTGGTTTTGCATGGGAGGAATTCAGGGAAGTTGTGGAGGGAGGAGAAGTGTTCTGAAGGGTTTGTTTTGATTCTTAATACTTTTTTTTAAAATTTTAGTTGCTGTTTTTGACCATCACAGCAGAAGATGCAGGACAAGAAGAAGGACAGGACACACCCAGATTCCTCCATCTTGCCTCTTGAACCCCCATTCTAAATCCCCAAAATTCTACTTTTTCACCCTGTGACAAATTCACTATCATTCTACTCAAACCCTTGTGGTGTGTAACTCTTCACACAAAGCTGGTAATTGTTTCCATGGGCTAAATCAAAGGCACAGGTGTTTTTGACTCTGTGCCAGGGTCTCTGAGCCCCTTGCCAGGGTCTTGAATCACCCAGGGCAGCCAGAGGAATGTCCTGAATCCCAACAACTTTTAATAAAATTTTCTTATACCATTTTAAAGTTTTGAGCCTTCTTTGCCTTTCTCCTAATCCTGTCTCCAGCAGGAAGTGATTGGCCAGCACTGAAGCCACCACAGTCATTGGTGCATTGGCTGGCAAATCTAAAAATTGGTGAAATCTCTCATTGGTTAACCAAAACCACTACACAATGCCAGCAAATTTTTACTTAGAGCTTTACCTTTCCACAACATCCTCTCCATTCCAGCAGGTTGAGCTGTCTCTCATCACCAGGTCTCCATCACAAAGCCTTTCTGCTATGGAGGCATAAAAGGTTCTGGACCTCTTCATGTAACTGATGAACTCTCTGCAAGGCAGGAAGAGCACATTTAACAACACAACAACAAACTCAGCACTCACTTAAACCCCCTGTCAGCCCAACCCTCAATCACATCAAGGCTTTAGAAAATAAGTAATCTGAATTAATTTCTACTTCTAGTGTATTTTTACTCCTCATAGATCCATTTTTACTTAGTCTGGTGTCAATACAGATGATTACTCACCTAAAGGGTGCTTTTAACACGTGGTGTTAATGTGCCTCTCACTAAAACTGAAAAAAGGCTACACCTACTCTTTGTAAACAGATTAAAAAACACTGAGAAAACATCATCATAAAAGGCATGGCCAGTGCAGACAGTGTGCACAGAAAAATGCCTTGAGGCCAAATTTCTGCCTCTTTTACAATCTGATTATACCTATAACATATACCTGGCTGAGGTAGCCATAAAAACAAACTAAAATAGCAAATGTTAATTCAGCCCCATGAGGAATTACCTGCTGCACTGCTTTAGAAGCTCCTGTTTGTTGTGTTACAAGGTTCAGGACACAGACTGAGCTGGAGCCATCCCTGAGCTCTGTGCCTGTCTCAGAGCTGCCCTGGGGAGCCCAAATGATTGCTCCTGGTTTGCAGGGTTTCAAACACTGGAGAAGAGCAGGATGGAGCTGGATGGAGCTCAGCACAAAGCAGGCAGGATTTATCTCTCCTGGTTTGCAGGGTTTCAAACACTGGAGAGGAGCCTGGGTACAGCTGGATGGAGCTCAGCACAAAGCAGGCTGAGTCTCTAACCAGGATTTATCTCTCCTCAGCAGCAGCAGGTGCTTCAAACAACATCCAGCCCCACTGGGATATATCTATCCCTGCCATCTCTCCCCACAGCTACCTTTATACCTTCTTTATACCATCTCAAAAGTGTTTAACCATCCCATTTACCTTCTGTGATGAAATCCTGCTCTAGATAAATCAGTCATCTCATGCTCCTAAGAAACTAACTGGGCCTCATAGAGCAGGAAAGCTGGGATTTAAAGCAAAGAAAAAAGCAGGAATTTAGGGGATTACAAAGAGGTAATCAACATTTCTACCTCTTGAGTACCATACTTACAAATATGAGCTCTGAGTATTCCTAGAGCAAAGCCAGGCCCAGCCAGAACAACCTAAGAGGATCAGTTCCAAGAGGAAGCACAGATGCCAAAGATTTTACAGGTTCTAAATCAGAGTCTTCTTTGAAAGAGGAAACCAGCACCCTTTTAGGAGCCTGAAGCTTGCCTTACTCAGCTCACCCCCAGAGCTTTAAACTCCTTTGCCTCCTCAGCAGAGTGGGGCTCTGACATTTCAAAGCAGTGTCTTAGCAAATGCAGAATTCTCTGTTCTGAATCTCAGTCTGAGTGAAAATATTGATTTTTCATCATTATAAAACTGAACACACTAGGGGGGAAAATGTAGAGTTTCCCAGTGCCCCACAATGTAAAAAATCAAAAGTGTTCCAGCTCCCAGATTACAGATGGAGGTGAGCTAGGTGTAGAGACAACAACAAAGGATGTCACCTTGTTTTCATTCTTACCGAGAGATTTTTTTCAAACTTCTTGATTTGTCATTCTTTGAAGCTTTCAGAGGCAGAGAACTGGAATAGGCCAGGGAGAATAGGCATCAATCAGGAGAGGTTGGGGAGTAGGGGAGAAGCAGGAATTCAGGCAAATGAGGAAAAGAAATGAAAAACAAAAGAGAAAAGCAAAAATTATTTGAAGGAAAGGTCATCAAGCACATGCATAGGACAATATAAGAAAATAAATAAGGAGGAAAATTATCATGAGACTTTTGACAAGTATACATGCAATCAAAAATGTCAATTCAATACTGGGGAAAAAGTACAACAGAGACTATTTGTCACAATCATTTTCAAGTAAGAGCAGAATTACAAATGCAGTGCACGCAGCAGAAAGCTGAAAATAAATTCAGTGGTACTTAAATTAAGTGTAACTGATACCAAATGGAAGGGCTGTAAATACATGAAACCGTACAAGAAAACAATGGCAAACAGTTTAGGATGGGAACCATGGGGAGGGGGATACAAACCAGTAGCATTCATGTTCTGGTACAATGAGCAATTTACTGCCTGGTAATAAATAATATAAATACAGGTATTTTTTGCTGTTCTGGGATTGCATCACTGAAAAAACCACCCAACTCTGCAAAACTGGAGACACAGACTTACAGGCTACAGTGGAGGAAGAACTGTGGCAACAACCCTGGTGATTATTTCGTGTTCTTAGTGGAGAGAGCAGCCTGAGGACACAAGAGGATGCAGCTCTGCCATCTCAGCTATGGCACTGATGGCAGGAGTGGCCACAGGACAGCAGGGACCTGCCCTGGCCACCAGGGGAGTGGCACCTGCCTGCAGGAATTCCAACACAGCCACTCAAACAAATGAAAATTTGTAACAGGGAAAATCTGTATCAACTGAAACTTCAGCCCTGGCCAAAGTTCATGTGCATCTGACATTAATAATCTGGTTTGTACTAGCACTTTATTACTCAAATGTTAATAAAATCATGTGATGTCTGACCCAACAGATAGTTTATTTTAAATGAAATAGATATCATTGACTCTAAACATTCCCAAAGGAATTCCTAAACTGTTGATTCAAAAGATCTGCAAATTCATGGCATAAAGAAATCCCAACAAAATAAAATTTCAAAGCCTTCTTTCTCCACTCAGGGACCTAATATGTTGTAGTTCTTTGTTGAAGATGTTTGATATACAGCTCTGTAAGCAGTGTTTAGTGGTTTGAAATGTCCCACGGAGCAGAGATGCTAAAGGCAGGTATTCAGCTTTGCTGGGAGACCAGACCCTGACCAGAACAGCTCTTTGTGCTGAACTCAGCAATAACATTCCAATTTACTGAGATTCTCTACATGCCATTTCCATTCCCTGCACCATCATATGGTTTCAATTTTCTTGTCATCTCTATTACATGTTATAGTAACCTCCACATTAAAAAAATTACTCCAGCAGCAACGCTGCCAGTTTCAGTTAATCCCTAACTACGATTGTGTAATGGTAAAAAAACAATAATCAATTTTATGCTTGCCAGTTTAATCATAGGAAATGGTTTCTTGCAAGATCATGCAACATTTATTCAAGTTTCAGCTTCTTTCATTATTGTCCCTGACACTTAAGTGATGCATAACAAAAAATATGCAGGAATGGAATGCAGAGTAAAATCAAGAGAGATGGGAAATCTCCCAGGAACCCATGAGAGTCAGAGGAGAAGAAAAGGGTTCAACTGCTGCAAAAGAGGATCCAGTTGCTGTGTGCAGACCTTGCAGCAGAGTGAGGAGGGCTGGCTGCAGCCAGATCCCAAACAGATCCCACTGAAGAACAGCTCAGGCCAAGGGACAGCATTGAAGAACCTCACTTGTCCTGCAGCAGCAGCCCTGGCTCTGCTCCTCAGCTGAAACTAGAGGTTCTCCAGCTCCAGGAAAAGGATCCTGATGGTTCCCATGGCCTAGCAGAGACCCAGCACCCCTGGAGCAAACACCCACCTGCAGCTGTCTGGCACTGGGGTTCTGAGGGCACCTTGAGCAGGTTCTGCACTACACAGGAGAGGACACTTGGTTGTGTTTCTCCTCCACAGAGGTTCTTTCTGAGCTCAGGAATGCTCTGACACACAAGGGAAGGAGCCACAGCTTTTCTGTTCACTTGGGGAGTGTTGGCTCATTCCTTCTCTTTCTCCTCCTTACCCTAAAAGGCTGCAGTCAGCCCCAGCCTCCCCTGGAATTACAGGATCATTTGGAAGGATGTCCCTCAGCCAGACCCACAGACAGACTCAGTGCTAGCACAAACCACCCTGGTCCTGCACCTGAACTGACAGAGCTGACATTACTGCTCTCCCTTTCCCAGCACCACCACAAGGAGTGGCCTCACCATACATTCATGTAATTACTCTCATCATCTGGTTCCCCTGTAGCAATTTTCTGTCACTCCAAGTGCATTTTACACAACGCACTGCAGAAATTATTTAACCCATGTATTACAGATTTTTATTAGCTTAAATTGATTTTTTATTGATGTCATATGTGATTAACTGATGGAGAATGAACAACACAGTGATGCAGCCAACCACTGTGTCTTTCAGTCTATAGTTTCACAATTGTTTCCAAGAAGCAGAAGTACAAGCTTCAGGCAATGTGTTTTATAGGAAGTTGTGGAGAATAGCTTCAGATTTTCCTATTCTTACTTACTATTTATGGCATATTTCCATCATTCATTTTTGGTGCACAGGCTCTCCACAATACCTATCAACACTGTAATTCAGTAATTTTTCATGCTAATTATATAATCAGGGACTTAGTTTAGATTTTTTGGATAAATTAATTTTCAGACCAATTCTAGCAAACTTTCTAATTTAGAGAACATTATTTTCTTTTCCATCTACAAGCCTTCAATTTTAAAAGGTCAATATCCAAATAATTCTGGATGGTGGGGAAGGGGAGCAAGCAGATCATCAGGTGAGAAAGAGCAGCTTTCATGCCACTGAAGACACAAATCTGCAACTTTTTAAGAGATCACCTGTTGACAGGTTGGCAGTTCTGGCTTTTGGGCTGCCAGTGTTAAGCCCCAGCCAAGTCAGTGAGTTACACAGAAGATGGCCCAGGGCTCAGTGCTGTTAAAAGCCTATTTCAAAAATTGTACTACAACTGTTCTTTGGATTTTTGTTGCTGAAGTTATTAATTTAATATCTGTAATGCTCCCTTTTTCTGATTTGCATGGTAAAAATTGATTAACTCCAAGCACTAGCACAAACTGTCATGGCTTGCCTTTCAATTACAAAAGAATAAAAAATTATCACTATCACTCAAAACACTTTGCTTGCTGTTATTACTTTTATCTCTTAAAACAGTCTTTGTTCCATTCATGCAAGCTGAGAATTAAACCAGAAATGGATAAAAATCTCATGTTCACAACTGAAACACGAGAACGCAGACTGTGGAAATGTTAACATTTTACAATTTTAACATTGCTCAAGTCATCCACTCGCCCAACAGAGATACACAGAGGCTGCCTGGGCAGTTTAATGCTGCTTTTGGACAGAGGAAAGCCCAGCACAACTCCCCTGATGGGGCTTGTTCCAGATTAACTCTGCTCTTTACAGAGGACAAGGGGCCAGCCACAAACAGGCACTGGGAGTTTATGGGCAGCTTGCTCTGACATGTACTCATGTATTGTGAGTGGGATTGTGGAAAAATCCTCTCCTAGAATGTACAGAAGGAGCTACACAAGGTAAAGCGAGAGAAGAACTCAGGAGATGTAGGAGGAGGGACACTCCTGTCCAGCCCAGTGGCAGGGCTCAGATGTGGGTGTCTCACATGAAGAACAGGAGCCAAGAAGGTCACAAGAAGCCTAAAAAACTCCTTCAGATCTTTGTTATTCAGCAACAAATCAAGGAGATTCCACTCCTGCCCAGTCCAGGGCAAGCAGGGACTGACTTGGTGTCAGGGCAATGAATTTTTCCTTTTCACCCCTTCCTCCTTCCCCCTTCTGCCCCTGGGTAAGCTCATGTCCTTACAGACCTGGGCAGGTACATTTTAAGCACTCAGCTGTGGAAACAGTTTCCTCAGACTTTGTTGAGGAAAAGCTTTCACCATTTTCACTGAAAGGTTCTGGAAATAACAAACACCTCAGTGTTAAGAGGAAAAGCTTTCACCATTTCCACTGAAAGGTTCTGGAAATAACAAACACCTTGGTGTTAAGCAATGATACCAAGCCTGGCCTTTCTTGGACAGACCCACAATGTGACCCATGGTGTCACCTGTGTGACTGTGGCTGGACAGCACACAGAGGAGGTGACAGAGCTGTGGCTTTGCCTTGAGCAGTGCCAAGAATAGCACAAATGATGAGCTGAGGGTTTGTTTCAAAGCAATTGCAGCCTAGGGTTACCTTCTCCTGTTGTTCAGGCTGATGTGGGCCATCACAAATGTCTGGGTTCCAGTCACCTCCTTCACTGGCACAATACTGGCTGATGACAGGTTCCCCTCTTGCTGTTTGGGCTGTCCACACACTTTATCAACCTGTGAGAAAGGGAGGCAAAGTGAAACAGAATGTGAGTGAAAAAAAAGGATTTCCAACCCCACGAAAGTCTGCCTGTTCCCTGCAGTCTGTGTTCACTGCACGAGATATTGTGAAAGGATTCTTCCTTCCAGCAGCTGGGAACAAGTGCCTTGCAAAAGAAGGACCAAATTCTATGGCAGGGCAAAGAACAGCAGAAAGTCAGTAGCCATGGATTTCCCAGTGGTTACCTGCACTACAGCACACTTGGAAATGCTGAAGTAGTGACTGATGAAGTATTGGCAAACTAAACTTTGATTTAGAAACATACCTGGAGCTCAAAGGTACACAGATTTTGGTGGAACATCTGCCCCATGCATGAAAAGCAGAGTCTATCCAGAGTTTAAAGGGCTTGTAATCAGCAGATAACCAATTCTTCCAGCCTGTAACCAGGCCACGTAACATCACTCAGTCCTCACTGCCCCTCCTGAAGCCTCCCCAGGGATTTAGTATCAGTTCAGGAGAAAGCAAACTGTGTTTATCCTTTCTGCACTGTGGATCTGACACTGCTCATGTATCCTGACACATTTATTTGCTGTAACAGCTTTAAGTGACAGGAGGAAGACAAGTCCCTTCCCTTTCTAATCCACAGATATGATTTACCCTGTGATGTTTTACCCACACAAATGCGCAAGCAAACACAAAGAGACCACAGAGGGAATCCTGCTCTGGGCATGGTACCACCAATGACCTGAATCACAAAATCCATTATCCCACACAGCCCTGGGCTTGGTACCCCTTCCTCAAGGTCCCACAGTAACCAGCCAGGGTGAGATGGATTCTGACTGCTCTGTGCCCTTTCCTGCAGCCCTAGAACCCTCATGAGTCTGCTCAGTGTTTCACCCACAGGTGTCACCATGATTTTTTCTGAAAAATCCCTTTGCCAGGATTTCTTCTCCTGGCAAGATCAGAAGCCTCAGCTTCTCCATGTTTTGCTGCTCTGGAATGTGATTTTAGAACTGTTTACCCAGCATGTGAATTGTTTTTAATTAATGATCAATCCCAGTCCAGCTGTGTCAGACTCTGACTCAGTCACGGGTTTTTATTATTCATTCTTGATAAGCTTTCTGATGTCTCCTTTCTCTTTCTTTAGTATAGTTTTAGTATATAATTTTCTTTTCTTTTCATATCATATCATATCATATCATATCATAATCACAAAATAATAGATCAGCCTTCTGAGAACTTGGAGTCAATTCTCATCTCTCACCTCATCCTGGGGACCCACAACACACAGGTGACTTCGGGTAACTTTTCTGTCCCTTTGTACCACTATCACACAGATGTCAGCATCAGCACAGGACATTTTCCCTGCCCATTTCTCAGCCCATTTCTTCCAGGAGCACCACAGCTATGTGAAGCTAAGACATCCTCCTCTGAGATAACAAACAATGTGCAGAACTGGAAGTTCTGTAGGCGTGACAGTGACAGTCAGCTTTAGCTGTTTGATTTCCAGCCTAGACCAGTATAATATGCTGTGAAGAAGCTCAAACTGCAGCAGCTGAATGGAATATACTGGATTAATCCTGACACATGTCCAGCAGCAGGGTGGGAGCAGCTGCCTCACTCAACACCAGGCACTGTGTACACTGCTCTGGTCACACCAGAGACTAGCACAGTATTGGTTTAAAACACAACTTTGGGAAATCAAATAGTCCATTTCAGTCCCTTCCAAACTTAGGAAAAGGAAAAAAACCACTCTGTGCAAATGAAAATACCAAACAAAAAAGCCTTTTGAACCCTTTAGAGTGGACAGAGGGTATAACACAGCTGGAGCACATTCCTGCACAGGATGCTTTCTGCCCTGCACTCCATGCTGCCCAGGTCCCCTGCAGCACACAGATCCCAATTCCCAGCAAAGCTCTCTGCAAAATCCATCTCAGATTTCATCATGGCACTAAAGTTCATGTCTTCAAATTACATACACCTCAAATCTTGTCACTATGCATGTGAGACGGTTTTTACCAACTCAAATCAGAGTGGCTTGCAAAAGCAATGTGGTTCTCATATACATGACCAATGGAGAACTCCCAAGTTTCTTGTTTTTCCTGAAAGAAGATACAAAGATACTGAAGTCATCATTTCTGTTGTGAATCAACAGTTTAGGCATCTGACTGAAAACACCAAATTTGTTTTGACTGGAATTTTTGATACTACAGAAATTACTCTTTAGATTGCCCAGGTTTCAGTATTTCCTACGCCAAACCTCTGCTTCAGGGCTTGCTTTTTAAGCAGTAGTAACAGTTTCCAGCATATCAAACAAAACCACACATATTAGATGGAAAAAAAATATTTCTTAGTGGAAAATTTTAACCAGTTCTACTCCATTAAGAATAAAGTTGTAAAATAAAAGGGCAAACCACAGTTCTTTTGTCACACAGTGCCATTCTCAGCCCACCTGGTGCCAGGCCAGGCAGTCCCAGCAGCCCCTCTTGGGGGTTATCCCTGTTCCCGTATCTGTTCCAGATTCTGAATGAGTTAAACAGAAATCTGACTTTGATTTATTTTTTTAATGTGGGCTAACTTTCACATCTCACCATCATGTGTATTTCTCTGCAGAATAAACCAACAGAAAAGCCTGAATTTTACCAGCTGATTTGAGCAGTCACAAAGCTGATGGCACAAATGAGAACACTCATGTATGAAAAACCATCTCAACTTCCAGATGGGTCATTTATAAAAAATAAGGTGGTGTTGTGTAAATTGAAAAGCATTGAGGCACACCATAAAAAAAAACCCAAAAAGGTGTTTTCTGGAACTGCAACATCTAAAATCTCCTGCCACAAGTTCCCTGTGTGTTAACAGTGAGGGCCACAGAGTTTTCCTCCCATTCCAAGTTGAACTCCTGAATCAACCACCATCCACAGGAAATTCAGTGCAGCCGGAAACAGGGACGGGAATGTCAAATTACTAATTAATTTTTAAATTAACTAATTTAAAACTAATTAATTTAAAAATTCAATTTATTTAAATTTTATTTTAAATTAGTTATTTTTTCTTATCCTAATTTCAAGGTGTAGGACTAGGAATAATCAGGAATCAACATAAAAAATGACTGAGCCCATTTCTTCACTTTTTAAACTTAAAATAAGTCTGCCAATCTTAAATTACAAAATGACAGAAAATCATCCCTCATCAATGGCAGGACTCTCATGTCATTCTTCTTCTCTCTGCCATGATATTTAAGCACTATCTTCTAACAGTGAACATCTACAGCTGAAAACTGGTATTCCCCCTGCCTCATTAATTTTTGAATTATCAATCATGTTTCACAATTCTAACATTTTTATTCATATTAAAGCTTTTTTCTTACACAGCAATTATTCCTCTTAAATATCTGTTTTTCCTGCCCTAGCTACATTTTTTTATGCTGTGAATTTTTCTTGGTAATGAAAAGCAGAATCATATATACACATTTTTTGACCTCTTATTATTTGTTCTTTAAAAGAATGACTATTTACAATTATTACAGAGGCTTAACAAAATAAATGGAAAAATTCTCATCCAGAATCTTCTTGAACTCTTACAGTTTGAGTAACCTTAAACACTGAGGTCAAATTTAATATATTTGATATAATCAAACATGGGAAAAAATGTCACGCCCTTCTGGGTACCAAGAGAATCTTATCTCTCTAAAGCAGGAGACCTTTTCACTAGTCCAGAACAGTAATTTTCTTTGAGTTTGTAATGGGAAGATTAGTGTTTTAAAGTACAAGATTTTCTCAGTGATGGGCTTTGAGTTGTTATTATTAAAATGCTGACACGTTTGTGTCCCCATGATATTTTCTGAAAAATCCCTTCACCAGGATTTTTCTCCTGAGAAGCTGAGAAACCTCAGAAAAGAAATATAAATAATATTATCTGATTGTGTGGGATGTGGTTTGGAGGTTGCTCACCAAGAGGTGAATCTCTAATTGGTTCCATGTGAATTGTTTTTAATTAATGACCAATCACAGCCAGCTGTGTCAGACTCTGAGTCAGTCAGAGGTTTTTATAATTCATTCTTGTTAAGCCTTCTGATGTCTCCTTTCTCTTTCTTTAGTATAGTTTTAGTATAGCATTTCTAATATCATATCATAATAAATCAGCATTCTGAGAATCTGGAGTCAAATTCTCATCTCTCACCTCATCCTGGGGACCCAGCACCACAACGCATTTTCCTGCAGGTTTCTGTGCCAGGATTTGTCTCCAGTCCAGCTCTGTAGACCCCCTCTGCCAAATTACATCCCCAGCCCTGCTGTGCCCCACAAGTGCCACAAACACCCTCCAAAGCAGGACTGGAGTTTGGTCTAACCCAGGTTCCAAATGCCAAGTTTGAAGTGATGCGGGGGTCCCAGCTGTGGGTTCCTCTGGCTCTGCATTGCAGGCACTCCAGACAGCAGTTTCATGTTGGGACTCAGGTGTTCATTATTCCTTGTCAGTAAAACAGTCTCACTGCTGTGAGTTCAGCAGCTTTGCATTAGAAGGCACAAAATGGCCAACAATCTCTTGGTACAAGGTCTCTTAAGACTAAACTGTCCAATTAAGAGCTGACACCTGGATTATTTTCCCTTTTAACCCAATAACTGATCCCACAGAGCCCACAGTGCAGACTGTTCTGCCCAATTACAAAATGCCACCCAAACCCATGGAGAAGGAGGAAGAAGAAGCTGAAGAAGAAACCCAGGACAGCACCCTGTGCCCTCCATCTTGCTGCCATCCACAACTCACTAAAAACCCCAAAACCTCAATTTCTCACCCAGTGATGCACCTGCACTGCTCTCTATAATCTATTTCACACTTTTGTGGGTTCCAGTCTGTCTTGAAGTCTGGGAAACTTTCTCCATGGATGAGGGTCAGAGTCAGTGCTGCCCTGGGGGTCAGGGCACCCAGAGCAGACACAGGAATATTCCCTGTGTGCCCTGGGTTTGCACAAAGTTAAGTGAGGGAGTGAGAATGGCTGAATTATGGGGAAATCAGGTCG